CGTTTTTTCCTACATGGCGCTGATGTGGTGCCATTTTCTGGAGCAACAGCAACGGTTCCAAACAGATGCCTAGTAAACAAAATTAAATCAATACTAGGAAACTCGATTTCTCCGTACCAAATTGTTTTTGTATCAAATAAAAAATTATGGATAATATTTGTATAGCTCAAAATTTGTTTTAATTTAATGAAAGGAAAAAAGGAGGTGCATTAGGGTTTATGGCCTATAAAATAAACATGCAAAAATCCTACAATAAATTGAAATATATTATCAAAAAAAGGATAGAATGAAATAGAAGTTTATCAAAAAAAATCCTAATAAAATTTAGGTTTATTGAAAAGTGGACTAATTGGGTGATGGAATGTATAACTAAGTAATGTTGTTACCAAATACAAATCAATGGCTCCCTGATGTTTTCACTCCTAGGGAATCAAATAAGGTGATTCAATTTCCCCATACATTTTTGTCTAATATGTATAAGCACTAACAAGATAAGTAGAAAAAGAAGCTACAACTAAAAAAAAGAAAAAACATAGAAGATAAAACAAATAGAGGAAACCCTAAAATTCCAATTCTTCATTTTGTTGATGATTGTATGATCTTTACTAAAGTATCTATATTGATTTGTTCTAAAATTAGATGATAATAGAGGAATATGTAGATGTATTAGAGCAATAGCCAAAATTTTTAACTAGTATTCTAAGAATCCTTGTTAAGGCAAAAAAAAATAATTCTTATTTAGGGGCTCCAAACATAAATGGAAAGTTAACAAAGAAACCTCCAATAAAATGGTCAAGAAAATCAAATAAAATTGATGAGGTGAAAGCAGAAAACCATATCGCACAGAAAACAAGTCTTCTAAAACCGATTATTGGGAAGATTGTTCAATATTATGAAATCGTTCAGATTCCCAAATTGTACCTTTAACAATATTGATAAACTTCAAAGAAGCTCTCTAGAGCAAAAATGGTAAACAATCCCCGGCTCTTGCAAAATGGGAAAAAATGCCTTCCCACCAACATTGGAGATCTAAGTCTAGAAGAAATGAAGTAGGTAAATAAAGCAAATATTGCTAAATTTGAACGGAAAATTATATTGATGGCAAAGAGAACCTTTGAGTGAGAGTGATTGATAACAAATACCTCAAGAACTCAAAGCCCTCGCCTCCCTAAAGTTGTCAATTGTTTATGTGGATGCTAGGTAGATGGCAAAATTAGTCTTGTGTGTGAGGTTTAATTATATCCCAACAAGGGGAATTATTTTACTCATTTGCTTGCTTCGAACAGCTATTCTGTGGGGAGCGAAGAGGAGTGGTCCTCTGTTCCTCGCTCTTTTATAATTTATTTTCAGGATTCGACTACAAAGATATAATTTATTACCGGAAAAATTTTTAACAATCGGGTATCATAAAAGTGGTAACAATCATGTGATATTTATCAAAATTCACAAGGATGTTTGATTGATCAAAAGTCAAAACCCTTCTAGTATTCGATTCTGCCCCCACTGACTTGCACCCCAAAATTGTCCCACATCATTAGAAGTTGCCGCGGGTCCTTTCACACGCATGCATCTCAGTCTCGTGCGGAGCTAATGAAACGGCGGTTAGCTCCCATTTCACCCAAAACAAAGTCAGTCTCAATCTTTATCTCAGTCTCTCACTCCTCCTATCGACCTGCCCTCTGAAACCCAGACCACGGCATCTCCTCCCCCGCCGGATCTTGTCAAAAAATCCATCGCCGATAATCATTCCGGTAGATACACCGGGGGGATATATTCCCCGTCCCTCTCATCTCAGATATTCTTGAATATGTTTTTCTCAGTTTTTTAACCTTCTTTTTTGCAATAAAAAAAAAACCCACAAGGGAAGAAGATACAGGTGCTGGCTCTGGTTAGGACTCTAAGGCTTGAAACAACGACAACTATGTCTTTTTATGTCATCCCCAGAAAGCTCTTTGTCTTGATTATGAGACTTTTAGTTCGACAAACCAACTCCTTGATTTCCCTTTAAAGCACAGAAACACATCACTTGTTTATGAGGTCTTCAGCGCCAACCCTCTGATCACGGAAACGAATGTGCTCTGTCTGGCCCATACAATTTTTATGGTTTTAATTAACGCCATATTCATTCTTCAAATAACCATGGATTTTGCTCTTATCTTTGCACTGCGTATCAGCCCAGCTGGAGACATTCCATGGTTAGACTCAAATCAGTGAATTTAGAGTGGAGTATTGCAGGAGGAAGAGAGAACAGATTCGAGAATACCTATCGGCGATTCTTCCCTTTTGCGTTTTTTTCTATTGCATAAAAGTTAAAAAACTAAAAACAAAAAAACGTATCTGAGAATATCTGAGATGAGAGGGATGGAGAGTTCTAGTGTATTGCAGGAATGATCGTGGCGTCGGATTTCTTGGCAAGATCCGGCGAGGGATGAGATGGAGCAGTCTGAGGGGTTTTTAGCATATAAGGGCAACTTTTGGAATTTAATATCAATAAAAGTAATATATTTAAAAATTTTTCAAAAATAGGTTAACTTTTTAAAAATAATATCAATAAACACTCTTCATCTTCTTCTTCTTGCCATTTGTTCACGAGAAACACCGTTCGCCGTCACCCACCACCCGCCTCCGGCAACGTTGCCAGAGGTGGCCGGAGGCAGAGGTGGCAACGGCAGCACTGGTGGTCATTCCTCTACCCACTACCACTGCCACCTCTGTCTCCACCCATCTCCGGCAATGTTGTCGGAAGCGAAGGCGGAGGTGGCGGCGTTGGACAGAGAAATCACCAACATTGCCGCCGCCACCTCCGACAACGTAGCCGGAGGTGGGCAGCAGCGGATGGCGGTGGTGGGTGGTGGTGGACGGCAACGGGCGACAACGGACAATGGCTTTGGTGAACAAATAGCAAGAAGAAGAAGATGAAATGTGTCTTTGCCCTTTATTGATATTAATTTTAAAAAGTTAACCTATTTTTGAAATTTTTTTAAATATATTACTTTTATTGATATTAAACCCCAAAAATTGCCCTTATATGCTATTACCCCCGGTCTGAGTTTCAGAGGACAGGTCGATAGGAGTGAAATTCACATTTTTGGGCGAAATCACTGAAATGGGAGCTAACGGGACGAGCTAACAATCCTCCCATTAGGTCTGCATGAGGTTGAGGCGCTTGCATGTGGGAGACACACGGCGTTTTTTAATGGTGTTAGACGTTTTTGGAGCATAAGTCAATGGGTAGCAAATTCAAACCCTCTAGTATCAGGAACGGGACCTACTCCTCACACGGAGGCACCTCACATGCACATCCACGATGTATTAAAAACATTTTCCATGAATAATAACATATAAGTACGGGAAATATTCCCAATGCATGGTACGATGTACGTGTGAGGAGCAGGCTCCATGCTCCTAGTATCATGTAGCATAGATTTTCCTTTAATTTAATGATCTTCTCAGCAAAAAAAAAAAAAAAAAACTCAAGAAGGGAAGGAAGGTTTTATAAAAAAGTCAAAGAAATGAAATGGAATAAACAAAAAAGATCCCAAGCCCAGCCTCGTAATTAGGGAAAGATTTGATCTAACCCATCTCATCAAATAATAAAGAAGATAAATAATTTTGGGATGGACCGAAAAGGGAAATACTCAAACAAGACAACTTATATATACCTTTGCTTGCAAAAAAAAACATGGGGAAACTCAATGGGTGATAATACCTCATACAATTTTTAAAAAATAAAATGCCTACTTATAAAAACTTCTTCATGGCTGCTTCTTAATGGAAAATTACCTACAAAAGAAAACACGTAAGAAGGAAAGGACTAAATAATGATGTGGATTTGCCTGTTTTGTGGGGAAAAGACGATGTTCATGGGGAGTTACCTGTTTTTTTTTTTTTTTAATATTGCGCCCAATATACTAGGTCCTAGAGAAGATGAACATTTTTTTTTGTGGTAAATAGAGGATGAACAAATAACCATCCAGAATGGTAGAAGAGAAAGTTAAAAAGGCTGCATTTGCCATTCTCTATTTTAAGGACTTATCGTCACAGCCTAAGTGAGAGACATATAAAAAAAAAGTGAGAGACGTGTAAATCTGAAACTTCCTAAGAAAGGATAGCCTTTCTCTTTTGAAATATTTGGAACTATAGAAAATAGTTCTCCTTTGAAATATTTGGAAATATAGAAAATATAGAAAATTGTTTCTCCTTTGAAATATTTGGAAATATTGAAAATTGTTGAATGAATTGCTTGAAGCCCTAATGCCCTTGAAAACAAGAATAATAAACTTGGGCCCATGTTAAAAGAAAACCACAAATGAAGGGAAAGTTGGAATATTGGTTGCTTTGCGGAGGCGTAATGATCCATGTGTTTTCGGGTACATTACCAGTAAAAATTTGGGAATGTTCTTTAAAACAAATTTGTAAATATTGGATCAGTAGAAGCAGAACAAGCTTTTGATCAAGGGGTAATTCATAGGACATCATTGATTGCCTTAACGTTAAATACCAGCACATATTCTGGGAGTCCGCAGACTTGCTTTATAACTTGACTTGAAATTTCGTAATATTCTTATGTGAAATATATTTCGAGTAATCATCGATATTTGTATAACTTTGGTTTCACCTTTCAGATCCCCACACGACTAACGCCCAGTGAGTCATGCGCGTTGCGCACCTGTTCGGCACTTCAACAGTGAGATGGCCTTATAAGAAGACACATTGCCACTAAGGCTAAGAGCACAAATACATACAAAATACGAGCACAAAACACAAATATGTAGAGTGCAAAACACACTTTGGAAGGAGTGATGAAACTCACTTTGGGAGGAGTACAAAACACAAATATGTAGAGTGCAAAACCTTGTATTTTATATCATTTTGTATGTATTTGTACTGTGCATATACAAATAGATAAACCCTGTCCAGCAATAGCAAACTATCAGGCCCTGTTTCGGTTTGCCTACTTATATGATTTGATGTAAAACCCAGTTCTAGAAATTATGAACTCGAAGCAATTCACTTGGTGCAAATCAATAATGAGCAATGTCAACAGAAAACAAAGAACGGAGCGATAAAGAATATTTCTTCATGGAGCTCAGTTAAATAACAGGATCATGTCTTGACACAGATTTCCAAAACCACTAGTCAAAACTAGTAATATCCAAGCACTACTTGCTATAATTCACCGAACTCTATTTTTAAAAGAAATATAAGAAACCGTACTCAGGCAAATTATCTATCAGAAAATACTCTACTAAACAGGATTATCCTATTTGGTTGAAAATGAAAGGCATCTTAACTCCATCTTCTCTCACTGCTCACCAGGTAATGTTTTGATTATATCAGAATCACCTGTAAGATACGTGGAGAAACAAATTTTCCACCAAGTCAGGATAGAAACCCCATGGTAAAGTGTAGATGTAGATCAATAAAAGAATATTGCCTCACCTGGATCAATTATGCCAAGGCATGACACACGGTAATACTTTCCACAGGCTGTGCCCAAGTCAACATTGTCTACAGAACAAATAAAGAGGATTTAACATAATGTTTCTCAGTCATTTGCAAAGACTTTAAACCCCACTGTGATCATTTTATGTATAGAATCATTACGAGGAATTGCAAATCTGAATAGTATGCATCCTTTTTAAAAATAGACGTCCAGAGATAAAATAGTAAAATTGGGTATATCGCCCCATCCCTAGAATTGTGTTGCTGTGCAGATCTCATTCAATACGTATAGAGAATTAATATTAAAAGCAATGCAGTGGATACCTTCTACTGAGTCTCCGCATTCTGTGCACCGGTGGGTTCACTGGACCCGTGAACCCACCAATCTTAATCAACCACATCATCCAGCCCCAAGATTCACAATGTTAACGCATTTTTCACCGTTAGCATGGGTTAGCCGGTTCAACTAGCCACAAAAAGACAATATAACTCAAAAACACTCGACCTGCATTCCTCCCTCATTCTCCCTTCCATTTTGCAGAGTTTCATTACTTTTCCTCCACCAAATCCTACCCATACACCGGTGACCATACCACAGCAGAGGGTGACCCAAACCAGCGGCAATCAGCGGCAAGAGCTCCGGTGGTATGTTTTCGGGCCTCTGCTCTGAAAATCTTCATGGGAGGATGCCTGTGGATGGATTTCTTTCCATCAGGAATGACTGACTGTACAAGGCAGACCATGGATTCCCATTGGGTTCTCTGAATTGAATCGCTTATGAACATTAGTCTTTTGTTTCTCAAAACCTCCAGCGACTTCTTGGAATCAAACCTGAGAAATCCGATGGTCCAATCAATGGGCCTTACCAAGAAAAACAGCTACTAGACATGAATCAGGATGACTTTTACATACATGGAAGCCAGTAAATGTTAGGTGTGGACTATGGATCGTAAAAAGTGTCAAAGTGTGTAGTCATGTATGATTGTAATAAAATTCTTGCTTGTGTAAATGCTTGTTACCTTGGTAGTTTGCACTCGTAAGGCTCCCATCTCCAATTCTGATAAAGAGAATCAGGCCTCCCATTCTTCTAGCATGTCACCTGTTTGGTCAAGTAGGGGCAGCTCTCTTCAGTATACAAGGAATGGGACGCATTGTCCAACACCCATCTCCCATCAAACATATTGCACCAGCCCACAATGGATTCATGGCCAGAATTATCAGTCAATGGTCCCTGCTCTTCACTTTTGGAGGTAGAATCTCCAGAGAAGCTGATTGGAGAGAACAGACGTTTGCATTGTTTCTCCAACAGAAGTTCTCTGAGACTAGCCTCAAGGTTCCAAATAAGAGAAGAGAAACCAAAGCAAAGGGGTAGATGGACAGAATCCGGTGACCAGATGAGGGCTGGGGTGACCATTCTGGGTGGGAGGAATGAGATGAGTTTTCTGCATTCTAGTCACCATTTGAGAAAAGTTGTTGTTGTTGTTTGGTTTACAAGTGTACATTGATTCTTGAATTTTGGATGCAACCACCGGTTGGTAACTTGGTAAGGCCAAGTCAGAATATGAGATCTTCCATTATTGGAGAAGAACTGAATGTCAAATAGAATGATGAATTCGCACACCATGTTGTGATGTGATCACTGATCAAACTATCTGAATGATGGCAGCACAGACCTTGCCCTTCACGGATTGAGCCCTTGAACCCCAAGAAGGATAAAATCCATACACTGAACAGGGTTTTGGAATTTTGGGCTTTGGAAGAAGAAGAAAAGGCCAGCCAGAAAACGTACCACCAAGGCTCTTGCCACCGATGGCCACTGGTTCGAGTCACCGTCCGCTATGGTATGTCGCCGGTGTGTGGGTAGTAGGGTTTGGTGGAGGAAAAGCAACGAAAACTCTGAAAAATGGGAGGGAGAATGAGGGAGGAATGTGGGCTGTGTTTTTGAGTCATATTTTGTCCTTTTGTGGCAGGTTGAACCGGCTAGTCCAAGCTAACAGTGAAAAACGTATTAACATTCTGAATCTTGGGGCTAGGCGACGTGGTTGATTAAGATTGGTGGGTTCACGTGTCCAATGAACCCACCAGTGCACAGAACAAGGACTCCCTTCTACTTGCATTAATTCCAATTTACAATGTGCACGACACGTCAATCAAGGAAATTTAAGCAGCACCCTTAATAATCCAAATGTATTGTGAATATCTAAGTTGAAAATGTGCCATAAAAATGCCACAAGTATTTTCACATGTGCAAGCTCAAGTATATGAACATAGAAAGTCACAAGAGTAACACAAAGTCGGATAGGCTTCTGCTTTTATTGGGCACTTTGGGAAATTGGTAATTAAACACATGTGTTGCATGTGAGAAATTTTTCTTCATATTAATTACTTGAATTTTAGATATATCATAGTTAAGATAGAAATTGAAAATTAACAAAAGTAAAACTATGATTAAAAATAAACTTAAATGCTTGTACCAAATAACATTGTTATTATTATTATTAAATTTTATATTGCATTTTTATCATAAATAAAAATAACTTTTATTTTAACAATTATTTTTATTTAATATGATGAATATATAACATTAGAAATGTTCTCAAATGTTTTCTACAAAATCTTGTACATTTTCATTTTTGGTGTTCTATCTTTTTTTAAAATATTTATTATTCAATTATGACATCAAGGGTTTCTTTAAAAAGTTTGATCATTAACTCACCATCTAGATAAAATAGCTTTGCTTTTGGATTAGTTTTAAAATAGGAAAAATTATAGTCAGAGCCGGTTGTACATTTAAAATTAGGCTACAAGTTGGTCCATAAACCAACAAAACTCTAACAAGCAGCTCTACAATTCAAATTATAAAAAACCTTGCCATGTCATCGAAGGCTTATGTGGCTATTGCCAACATGGAACTCTTAATCCATGTTGAACACAACAAAAAACTTATACTGAAATTGCCCTTTAATGTTAGATGATTGGAAAATAAAAAAAGGGTTTTAGTCTCTCTCTCTCTCTCTCTCTCTCTCTCTCTTAATCTCCCTCACACTCTCTCACTCTCACAGTCATCTTTATCTACTCAACAACTTTGTGATTTGAAAATAAATAAAAATGGTTTTTGGTTTCCGTATTAACGTTCTCTATATCAATTTCTCTCATTCTCTCCCTCTCTACCTATCGTTCTCCTTCAATCTCTCTCATTCTCTTTCTCGATCGATCTCTTGTTCTCCCTTAATTTCTATCGTTCTCCCTCAATTTCTCTCCTGCTCCCTCTCATTCTTTTTTTTTATTTTCTTACACACTTATATGGTATTAATTAGATCGTATAAAAGAACATGAGAACAACTTGGTATGGTTCAAAAATCATTACACCAATTTGATAAAAATTCAGGGAGAAGAAGATACTGAACGTGGGAGAGTGAAGGACAAGAATGAGAGAAACTAAGGGAGAACAATAGAGAAAAAGAGAGAGAGAGTGATTTGGCTACAGACCGAAGCTGAGAGAGTGGGAGAGACAGAGGGAGCGGGAGACCGAGAGATGACTATGAGTGAGAGAGAACTTAAAGCTTTATCCACTGAACACTTTCACAAAACAGGGGCACAGCCTCTATATTCATTGAAGTTACTTTTCTTTCTTCTATTTCTTGTCATGAATGTGCTGATTTTTTATGTTCTAATACAAATTTGATACTTTTTAATGAAGATTATTGATAACTACTAGTGAAAGACGATTGCTGGTTACTATGAAATTTGAGAATTTACACTAGATATAGGTTTTTTATTTACAAAAATATACATCGCCTAGGCGATGCCTAGGCGCCTACCTAGGAGACTAGGTGCAAAGGCACTCCCAGTCCCCTAGACTTTCCTTGGCAACTTAAAAACTATAATTTTAAAGTAAAACTGTATCCCATGTTAGCACAAAATCTGCAGCTCTATTGCACTCTCCAATCTCCATATGTGTGTTCAAGCATACCAAATGAAACCATTTCAATTAGCTATTTACTAAAACTTATTACTTATATGATAAATTTGTCAACTAAAAGAGTTTCGTATACCCACGTGTTAGACAAGATCATGTGGAGCATATCAATCTAATTCGAATATATGTTAACCAAGGTCGTCGGAAAAGGGAAATACATGTAATATTTCCTTCAGTCATTTGTTTATAAGCTATCAAAGAACTTTTAACCTTCTTCTTTTCATCTTTGATTTACAACTGACAAAGTTCACTCTTAAACATTCAGATAATAAATCCTTCAAATAAGTGCTAAGAGTGAAAGCTGTTACTTTAATACATAATAAAAAATATCATTATTTTCATAATGAGCTCAAAGAGGTATAAGCTTAGTGACAATAACCTAGAAAAGTATATAGAAAAAACAACAAACAAGAATAAATCAAGTATTTAGATACCACTGACTTTTACTACAGGATCGTTTCAAGGAGATTCAAGCATTGTACACTAGTGATATAGGAATTTATGTCGCATCCCTCTAGTACATAAAGCAGGAAAAAAATCAAGGTTATAAGAGAAAACTAAAACATATGACGACGATTAATTTGAGCGACCTCAAAAAGAAGTGCAGCCCCAAAATGTAACAGATGGAAACAAAAATAAAATAAACAAAAGGCGCGCCACATTGAGATAAAGAGCATAGAATGACTCACTGACATTTATTTAGATTTACGCAATTAATCAGTAAGAGAAGCTACTTACTTCCATTGAAATGGTGGACGCCAACCTTGGCAAGCATTGCATAGTACTCAATCTCGGACTTCCGCAGAGGTGGGCAATTGTTTGAAATAATTATCAATTTTGCTGCAAATGCCCAAAATAAAACTAATCACCAAGCCAGATCTTCAAAAGAAATGAAGATGAAAACGGATAAACGTCTCCATTTATTTACATAACGAAGAAACGACATCGAAGGAGAAAGAAGCTAGGATATGAGAATCCACCTTTCGAAGTTCTTAGGGTCCGAAGGACGGTCTTGTATCCAAGCGTGTATTTCCCGCTCTTCACCACGAGAGCGAGTCTGTTGTTGATGCTCTCATGAGTCTTCTTCTGTAAAATTCATTCAGAAAGGACTAAGCGACAGAAACATAGAACCAAATAATGAGGTAACGTGACAAGAGGATCATACCGTCTTCTTCGCCGCCACCATCGTTGCTCCTTACAGAGAAAAGAAAAGAGAGACTTGGAAGAAAACGAAACGACTCAAAGATTAGGGTTTTCTATCGGGGAATCTACATTATTTGACAATGTGAAAAACTTCACCTAACTTTCATATATGTGAAATAAGCCCCTATAAGAAATATTAATTATATATAATTCCATTGAAGATAAATTATTTGAAACCTCCCCTTCCTATTATTGACGATGTCTAGAATTTTCCCTTTATACCTCCAACTCTCCAAAGTATCCCCAAAGATACTTGATTAAATGGCAGGTGACAGCAAAATTACTACTCTATCCATTTACACTATCACATATTATGTACGGTTGTTAATGGGGTAACCCCATCTTCCGATTCCAGATATGCTCCTCACACCGACTTCATAGCATATCTTGACCGCACAGAGTCCCCATGTTAATCGCAGCCATACATAGAGAACGTCTCATCCTCTGCATAGTATTATGCAGAGTGAGATGTTCTCAATTTACGGGGATAATATATTGTGGGTAGGCATGGATAGGAGATTTGGAGTCAGTCGCACATAGAAAACGAGAGCATTTTACAGGCACATTTTATCATGCATGGAGAACATTTCCCGTATATAATAACATATAAGTATGAAAGATATTCCAAATGCATGACCGGATCTTCCTGTAAGGTTGGTGTGAGGCGCCCTGTGTTAGGAACAGATCCGATCTCTTACCTATCATCCCCGGTTTTAATTCTGCTACAACGAACAAAATATTGATCAATTGAGGACTCCCGATCTCCTACCCATGAAAACTCTGCCACGCCTACTCACAATACACTACCCCCGTGAATTTGAAACATCTCCCCTTATTCTCCATGTGTGACTGCGATAAATGTAGACAGAGTTCTCGTGGGCAAGAGATTCGGACTCTCAATTGAGCCACCATTGCACTTGGACCTGTTCATGGGCTAGTATCCAACGGGCTTGCCCAGCCGATTTCCATGCCTGTGGCTCAAGCTCGGTCAGGTCCAACTTTTTTCAAAGTTTGAACTTTTAAATAAGTACCATCCAATAATAATAATAATAATAATAATAATTAGCGGGGTGACCCTGCGTTGCTGCGAATTGGTTGAAATAAATTAATGACAATGGTAAGGGTGTCATAACAATATGTAAACAACACAAGGGGTGTTTTGACAGTTTTGACATAATTGCAGGAATATATTTTTGAAATAAATTAATTAAATATTTGAAAGGGGTGTAATAAGAAATGCCCATGAGAATTTAAAGAGATAAACATCAAATATAATATATTAAAACTTATTTTGTATATATTTTAGTATATAATATAATACATAAAAATATTTGTTTATTATTTTAAAGATAATTATAGATATTTTATATGTTAAAATCTATAAATACTATAATACATATAATTACATTAAGATTTTAATTGAATCTTAAAATCCATAAAAACACATCATTCACATCAGATGATAAAAACTGGTGCAACGTAACCAGGAGACAAAAATAGTTCATCTCCAAGTCGGTTTTATGGAAAAAAAAAACTTTATATAAAAAACAGACTAACAATCAGCCAATACGAAAATTTCAATGTCTAGAAAAAGCGGAGGCTCATTATACATACCATCATATATAAAGACATCAACATTTATTGTCTAAGTACTTATAACAAATAAACAATTAAAAAGCATTTCATTGTTTACAGATGCAATAGGCTCATTGAAATGAGTCAAATGACACTGTCAGCACTCAGCCATTTGATGTTAGCTGTCTGACGTCTCATGCCTCGAGCCTCAGCCTTGACCCTCCTACACCACACCTGTGAGAAATGATGAAATACTTCCATCTGTAATTTCCCATCAATCACTAATAACTGTCGTATCAATTTTAAATTTCGATTAAATTCTGCACATTTAACAAATAACAAAAATTTTTTATTTTAAATCCCCATTGCCCATTCCATGAAGAAAAATTTTGTATCCGTCAAATTGGTCGACTTCCAAGTTCCAACCATGAATATAATTCATTCCAATTCTATGAAAATCACAAAACAATTAATCAAACAAACAAAAAAGAAAGAAAGAAATCATGTTGGGCCATTCAACTTACAGTTGGCTATTTACCCAGTTCCTCTGTTCTTCTTCAACCCTCACACCTCCCCCCACCCCTAAATTACAACCACTGAATAATAAGAGCAATCATCCACTAAGGTGTGGCTACAGCTGGAGGAGTCCGTGACTCCATGGAAGGAGTCTGGCCGTCTAATCCCTTTGAATCTTTGACGGTCATCAGACGACTGACGTAAACCATCATCCATCTCCGTCCCATTAATATCCTCTATCATCCACACTACTACCTAAAAATCAGGCCGTTGATCAAGCACAGTCGACACACACCATGGCTATCACAATTGCACCATCTCTTCCTCTGTGTTCTGATATTTCGTTAGCTCCACATCAAACACCTCAACCATCCATTCTTCTCTCTCTCTCACCATTGACTGGATCCACCTAGGCAAATCAATCCCTTCTTCCCTAAACGATGCTTGATTCAGGGCCTTCCTGTCAACAACTCTAGTAACAATACACCGAAGCTATACATCAATACATGTTCGAAACGCCACTTTTTTTCATTTTAATACAAATTAAAAATGAAAAGAGGAATTTCCTTTGTTGTAACAGCTCGAGATTCCATACCGTTCACTAGAGATAAGCGAGAGAAAGAGAAGGAATCCGCTTAAAAAAAAGAAAAAGAAAAAAACATCGTACCATGCAGAAGAGCAAATTAACTTCCGGCGGCATGTAATCGTAGACAAGTAGCTTCTCGTCCTTTGTTTAGTAAAAAGCCCTTAGAGGAATCACAACTCCATCCTCGAGTCTCTTCACTACCATGGTCATCCCTTCCTCTAGAACCGCTTTATATGAAGTACCGATTCTTTCTTTCCCTAAAACTACCAGACAAACTCTCAGCAAATCCTCCAAATCGAAATTATAAGCCCCACCCTCGAAAAACACCAACTTATTTCTCTCGGCTTCCGCCACTCCACCTGCCATATCGTCCTTTAATGGAGAGGTTCCCACCTCTGTAACCACCGACTGCGATCCATCATGATGCATGACTTCGCGATCACTGAGAGGTGGTAGTCATGGGGAAGAGAGAGAGGGATTCATGGGGAAGAAATAGAGAGAGAATTGATGGGAGAAGACTTGAGAGAGAGAGAGAGAATGCATTAGAGAAGGGAGAAATACAAAGGGAGTTGAGAGAAATTGAGAGTGTAGGAAGCTTCTCCTCGGAAGAGGTGAACGAAAAACGATGGGAGGGGCTGGTGAAGGTTAAGAAGTGCCGGGCAGTAACCTCTGAGCGTGCGGAATGGTTGGGAGCATGCAGGGGGCCATTCGCTGTCAAACATCAGGACGCCAGTGCTAGTCGAAGGGATTCATGCGAAAGAGATAGAGGGAGGGGGAGTTGAAAGCAGGAACCAGAGAGCGGAGATGGCTTGCTTGGCAAGCTTGAACACCAGAACAAAGAAAGAGGGGGCAGAGAAAGATAGGAGAGAGAAAAAGTGAAGGTATTCGCACGTTTGGGTTAGTGTCATGATGGGCTGCTCTCGCGTGGGAATCTACTCCCATTTGCTACACGGACATATATAAGATAAATATAAGATAATAATAATAATAATAATAATAATAATATAGGTATTAGGTAATAATTTGTATTTCTGTTTTGCTTTTGTATTGTATATTTGTGTTTCTTTGAATTTTAGGCTTCATTTGGTTTCAATACAATTTTATTTGCACCAGTATAATGCATGAGACTGCAAATGAAAAAAAAAATGCAAATTCTTATTTAATTGTGTTTGGGGTTTTACTTTATTTTGGTTCATGTCTTAATTCAGTTCATTTGTATTGTAATCAAACAAAATAAGTTGCCCATAAGGCTTTTTCAAAAAAAAAAATCAAACAAAATAAGCTAAAACTTAAAAACAAAAATAAATTAGAATTTACATTCAAATCATTTGCACTAGCATGGGTCAATGCAAATTTATTTGCATTGCAACCAAACACAGCCTTATGTGTATAATTATATCTTGGATTAATACTTTTATGTGCAAAATGTGTGATTTGATAGGAATAAATTAATAAAATTAAGATATTACATAACATACACCGGGCTTTAGGCTAGGGCCTGAACTTTGAGCTTATATTAGGCTAGGCTCGAGCTCAGATCTTTATTTTCTATTAATAAGTGGCAAAGCCCAGCCTGATCTGGCTCGTGAAAAGGTCTCATCACACAATATACTTTTCAAACATGTATATTTTAATTATCCAAAATACCTTTAATTAATTTAATTGCTCTTCTACAAATGAACAAATGTCATTGAGATATAGTGCTAAGAGGCCTAATTATTTGAACAAACTAGCGAGGCATCCATGCAATGCACGGGAGGATTATGTAAAAATTCACGATAGTATGTATATGAATGAAGAATAGATATAGATGAATTAATTCAAACTTATCGAAAAAATTTGGCATAATAGGAATAGTACTTCAAAACAATTTGAATGTTTGGGTTGAAGCTATATTGGATTCATAAGTTAATTGTTAAATTTAAAAAAAATTAAATTATAAAGTTTAGACAAATATCTATATAAATATATTAAGTTGAATCGTGTACGAAGAAAAGAATGAGGATGTAAGAAATTGAATCTAATAGTAACTTTTGCCTTTTTTCTTTGAAATTACAAGAATATCACATAAAGATAAACCCCTTATGTAATTGTCTATATATTATTCGAAAATTATATGACTATCACATATAAGACAAACCTTTTAACTTATAATTGCATCTATAGTATTCGAAAATTATAAGACTACCACATATATGACAAACTTTCCAATTTAATTGACTCTAAGGCATTCAAAAATTACAAGAATGTCACATATAAGGCAAATTTACTCTCTTTACAATTATTTACAATTAAAAAATATAGCAATATCATGTATAATTATTTACAATTATGCCATCCTACAAAATAAAATGTCATCCCTATTCTATCTCGCTTAATTCTCTCTCTCTCTCTCTCTCCTCCTATTCTTTATCTCAACTTTTATTTATTCATTTATTTATTTATTATTATTATTATCTAAGCATTTATTTATTTAATAAATTATTTTAAATCAATAAAATAAAAGAGATTTGACATTAAGAGAAATATTTTAATAGACATTTATTTATTTAATTTATTATTATCATCTATGCATTTATTTAGTTAATAAATTATTTATAAATCAGTAAAATAAAGGGGATTTCACATTGAGAGAGAGGTTTTAATAGATATTTATTTATTTATTTTACTATATTATTTTTTAGTATTATATAAGTATTTATTTATTTAATAAAATTAAATAAATTATTTATAAATCAATAAAATAAAATATATTTGGCATTGAGAGAAATATTTTAGTAGATATTTATTTATTTATTTTACTAAATTATTTATTTAGAAATAATTTACTAACAAATTATTCTCTCCCCTTGAGCCCAATATTTAAGTAAGGTTGTCAATAGGTCGAGTCCGACCCAATGAACCTAATGGACCCGAACCAATTGGGCCGATTCTAATTCTAGGAAATGGAACCAACGAGTTGATTCTGTGTCCTGATATAGGGTCCCAAATTACTATCGGTTTAGAATATATATATATATATATATATATATATATATATATATATATATATAATGTATGACATATTAAATAAATAAATTATATATACTATACATATAATATATATAGAATATTTAGTATATATTATACATAAATATTTGTTTTATTTATTATAATCGGGTCTGTCGGGTCACACCCAATTGTCTCGAGAACCGATAAGTTCGATTCCGGTCCAAAAATTACAAACCCCATGGGTCAAATTCGAGTCCTCAACGTTTCATGTTGGGTCAGTTTTGGTTCAAACTGGTTCCGACCCGACCCGACCCGCTGGCAATCCTATATTTAAGGCTATCAATAGGTAGATTTAAGCCTAATATTTATGAGGGGGGCCAAAATGTAAGTGGAATAGGGGGCCATGACTTCCCTGGTCCCCTTGGCTCCACCCCTAAGGTTGGGATTAAACCTATTCACAGGTCACGTCGAGATGTGACATTTGCATTTATATCAATCGAACATATTCAAATCCAAGTTTGAGCATGACCGAACCATCGGGTCTAGATCTTGAGCCCAAGCTCGACCCCCATATAAAGCCCGAAGCTCAACCAAGAAATTGAGAAAAAAAATATTTGTATTCTTTATTTGACAACAAAATTGATTTATTTATATTAAATTGACTTCAAAAGTGAAAATTTTAATTAATTATTTATTGTTTTATTTTATTAAATTAARTATATTATTATCCATAATTTTTATTTATTTAATTCAACATGCAACCAATATTTAGGGTTGTCAATGGGTCGGGTTTGGTTCTGGATAACTTGGACCAATCATGTCTTAATAATAAATGAATAGTTACTTATTTATTTTATTACAATAAATAATTGATTTATTTAATTTTCAAAACTAAGTAAATTATTATCCATATATTTTTGTTTATTTAATTTTCTAAATTATTCAATTAGTTAATAATTTATTTTACTAACAAATTATTTCTCTTTCTCCTCGAGCCTAATAATTTAGGGCTATCAATAGGTTAGGTCTGCATTGGGTAGGGGCATAGCTAGGAATTTTTTATGAGGGGGGCTTAAATCTAAGTGGATTAGGGAGGCAGGGTAATTTAATCAATAGGTTAGGTCTGGGTTAGGCAGGAGAAGAGCTAGGAATTCTGAGGGGTGCCAAAATCTAAGTGGATCGGGGGCTAGAGGGAATAAATATGGATGGCCATTGGAGGGGAACCATTGGCGTAGGGAGTGGGGGAGTGGGAAAATATACATGAAGAGTGGGGACTTATTGGGCCATAGGGGGCCATGGCTCCTTGGGGTCCCCCTATCTCCGCCTCAGGGTTGGGATCAAACCTATTCATAGGCCACGCTGGGCTTTGCCTTTATATCGATGGAACATGTTCAGGCCCAAGCCTGAGCATGACCGGACTATCAGGCCTAGATCTTGAGCCCAATCTCGACCCCCCCCCCCCCATATAAAGCGCAAAGCCCAGTCAAGAAATTGAGAAAAAAAAATTGCATTCTTTATTTGACAACAAATCTGATTTATTTATATTAAATTGACTTCAAAATTGAAAATTTTATTTATTTATTTATTTATTAAATTAAATATATTATTATCCATAAATTTTTACTTATTTTAAGTAAACCCTTTTTTCCTAAAAACTATTAATTAAAAAATTTACCTTTAACAAATTCATTTTTTCCTATACAATAATTTAACTTATGCAAGGCCTTGCAACACAAGGCCCCTCCACTAGTATAACTAACATCAAAATACCTTACATTCCTAAATGTTACTAAAATTTCATCAACCCTTAGCCTGATAAAATATATCAACCCTTAACTTTAAAAGACCCTATTGTCATCAATATTATAATGGACCGAAAGCCATCTCGGTTCCTCTTGATAGCTGTTGTAAATCACAGCAGCAATGTGGCCTTTAACTGCTATAAGGTATAGCAATTATAGATCTTGAAACCACCCTTTATCCCTCATTTTTTTGTACAAATCTGAGTCCATGTTATGCCATAAACCACTCTAAAGTCTAAACTAACCTTCTTTTGTTGTTATTCCCAATGCATTTCAACTTTGCAAGTTCGAGTTTGGAGTTCCTCTTAAAAAAAATGTCCCAACATTCATGCATCACCTAGGACCCACCATGTCTCAAATGTGGATACATAGTTCATGTTTTAACATTTTTTTTGTTGGGAGCAAAAGCATTCTCTACAACTCCCCCTCCCCACCCCCAAGTCCCCTCTCTTACAGTTAAGTTTTATTCATAAGTGAAGGCTTTGGTTTTCTATTAAACATTATGAAAGAATTTGACCTCCAAGATTCACCCCAATTGTCCCCCTTATTCTACCATGAATTAATCATAGCAAAGGCTTAGTCCCAAGATCCTCTATGAGGTCTCGATATTTGACAATTTTGTTATGACTCACACATGGCAGAGTTTCCACCCTAAAGCCCCCTCACCCGGTGTTCTGTTATGATTCATATTGCATTAGAATTAAACCTATATTCAGATATTATTCTAGAACGAAATGTTTATCAAAGGGACAAAACTGGATACATGACTATCATGATAATTCAGTGATGGCAGTGTTATTGGAGATTGATTAATAATGAACCTTGATCAAACTTTGGTAAAGCTCGGAAGGGATTTGACCCCACTTTTGACTTTTACCTTTAACCAAAAACAAAGAGACTTAAGATCATCGATAAAACACTATACATTACGATGGAATACAAAGAAAAAAAAAACACAATAATCAATTATATAATACAACAAACATAATAAAATTGATGGTTGATGGTCTCCAACATATAATAGAAAGATTGACCAGCCCTACAAAACAATGAATGAAAAGGCAAAAAAAAAAAAAGAAAAAAATGATAGCAATTATTGTCAACTGAAAAAAAAAAGTAAATAAGGGATTTATTTTCAAATAAAAGAAAAAGAAGGGCATTTTTGTTATCTTTCACACTGTAAAAAAAAAAGTAAATAGGCCATGTTCGTTTTCCGTGAAGTGAAGGGGGGAAAGTTTGGTCACCCATTGAAATTTACCTGTGTTCGGATTTCAAAATTTTGTGGGACCTGCGGTAAGTTTGATTTACCCGGGAATCACTTCCCCGGGTAAATGATACCCTTGCGAAACTCGGGTAAGTTGATTTCGCGAGTGGATGGTAAGCAGATAAAAATAAGAAATCTCAATATTGCCCCCACAAGATATAAAAGTTCGAGACTCTACCTTTCCGAAAAATCACCTCTGTGTTTCCCTCCTTCACTTCGTTCTACTTCTCTGAAAATCAGCTTCTACGTTTCTCCTCCACTCCTTTCTTCTTCTATGCCATTAATTCTTTCAGACAGAAAATGCTGAGTTCTTCTATTGCTGATGCGTGTCTTTGAGTTCTGCTTCTCTGTGTATCTCTGCGTATCTCTGAGTTCTGCTTCTCTGCCTTTCTCCTCCGAAAATTACCTATGCATATCTCTGCATTTCTCCTCCGAAAATCACCTCTGCGTATCTCGGAGTTCTGCTTCTCTGCCTTCGCTGCTGCTATATCAACTCATCGCAAATGCTGAAGAGTTGTCGTCGCTGTCCTCCCTCTGTTGCCGGCACCATTGATCATCTCAGTTGTTGTCGCCGCTCCATCTAGTTTCCGTCGCTGTTCATTTTTTCCTCCATTTAAACAGTAAGAATCACTATTTCACTTGTCGTTGATCCACCATTCCTCTGTAATGCATCTTATTTTTTTTTCATCTTATTCAAAAAATGCTGCTTCTCATCTTATTGTTTCTCTTTTATTATTATTTCATTGATTTCCTTTTTTTTATTTTGATTTTTTGTTTCCAGACTTCTTGGATCTAGTATTTTGGTTTTTTAGATCAACAGTGATACCTAGAGTTTTCAGAATCAGAACAGAAACAATTCTTATTGTAGAAGATCTACTCGGTGAATCACTGTAAGTAGTTGATTAATTTTGAATTTCTAGATAACATTGTCTTGTTTTCTATTTCATGAATTTGTTAGGCACTAGAGGAAGATGTTAGGCACTAAAAACATGTTAAAAGATCATATTGAGAACATTTGGTGGCTGAATATTGTTAGGTACTAGAGGAAGAACAATGCAGGACTGAAAATCTGCACGGAGCTCATTAATTGTTTCTTCGGAAGCTTCAAGCAAGCCTTTGGTGTCTGAATCTGAAGCCCTTGAATTAAATGATAAAAGATCATATTTAGACCTGTTCATGGGTCGGGCCGGGCCGGGCTTTTACTGTGTATTAACAAA